AAGTGTCAATATAAACATAGGAAAAGACATGCTATATTAGTTAATCAACGTGCGATGTGAGATTAATGTAATTGGTATATATATGTGTATGTCAGACTGAGATTTATCAAGATAAGATAATTTGTGTGCCGTCTGTAGTATTATATGAAGTTCACAAAAACAGTGTGGTTACTATACTGTAACTGTGTACCAAATTTTGACATTTCAACTTCACACTACTAAGGGCATTAAACGCTACGAAAAGTTTGTACCGTTGAACAAGTATCCATTCTATAGTAAATACAATATTACTAATACTAAGTATTTAAATTTGCATCTTTTATACCAGTATCCACGCCGCTGTCGCTTATCTCGTTAGTTTTATCCGTATAATAATGAATATAGCTTATTTTTACGTTACATTATGAAATATCGATTCATAATAATGCATATTTACGACTTTTTAAATATTTATCGTCCAATTAACGATGTGACGAGACGGTTAATGTTCTGGTTTCGCAATTTATCAACTGATAAGGACAATAAATAAGTACCATAGTAAATTCCTCACAAGCATATACCAATTGTGTGATCTCTATAGAAAACTCTTATATAGAAAATCGAATAAGGAGATAATTAAAAAAGATTTTAACGTAAATAGGTTCATCAAGAATCGATACCGATGTTTTATGAATAAAGGAACACCACTCATACAATGATACCTACAGACGTTCGGTAGGGGTAATGCAGCAAAGTCTAGCAAATTCTTTCAAGAAACCCATGGTTTCGTATCCGTTATTAGGTTTGTGTAAAAAAAACAACCATCACTAAATCTTGTAATAATTAACAAATAAGTTACAAACTCCTTATCGTTATTATTTTTAGTATTATGTTTAGACAGAAATAGGAGTGCGAAACCTGTAGATGTGTCAAATTATTTATTTATTTATTTTTATTTATTTATTTAAGCTTTGCATTCCATAATTTTACAGTAAATAGATAGACAGGTACATTTCAAAGTAGGTTAATTATGGACCCTGTTGGGCACAGCAAGCGGAAGAGAAGAGAGGAGGACGAGTTATTTTTTATATAATATATAATAATAATAAAAAATAGTAATAATAATTAATAATTTTAAATTGTATAATATTTAATTCAATATGTCATTTTTATATTCTAAAATTGTATAATAACATTTTTTAATCAACAATGTCTTGAGATTTCTTATAAATATTTTATCATTTTTTATCTCTTTTAAAGAAAGTGGTAAGTGGTTATATATATTTATGGATGACACCAGAGGACCACTTGAATGTAGTGCTAACGTGGAGGATGGAAGAAGGAGCCTGTTTCTGTGTCGTAAATTATATTTTTCACACCTTTCTTCGCGTGTTTTATAGAAATTGGGGTATTTTCGGACGAATTTACTGGTTTCTAAAATATAAATGCAAGTCAAAGTAAGAATATTATGTTTTTGGAAATATGGTTTACAGCTTTTACGATTGTCAATATTTACCAGAATTCTAATTAGTTTCTTTTGTAAGGTAAAGAGAGTAGGTGCATCGGTACTGTTTCCCCACATTATTATCCCATAACTCAACCATGCGTACGCATATGCATAGTAAGTGGTGAGAGCGGTTTGCAAGTTAGTGGTTCTTTTAACTTCCCGAAATGCATATACAAACCTAAACACTTTACTTTTTCTTTTCTTGATATGCGATTTCCAATTTATTTGTGAGTCAATGGATATACCGAGGAGCGTGAATTCATTGACCACTTCCAATGGCATTCCATTATACACGAAGTCAACGTCAAGTGGCCTTCTTTGACATGGGTGGAAGGTCATTAATTTAGTTTTATTATAGTTAATATCTAAGTTATGGTCGCGCATCCAATTAGACGTTCTATCAAGAATCGAATTAAGATGGGCATCTAAGTCTGTACCACTTTGGCACGATGTAAGCTGAGAGACATCATCCGCGAAAAGAACACAGGGCTCTTGTACAATTTTAGGGAGATCGTTTATATAAATTAAAAACAATATACAGCCGATAACACTTCCTTGAGGAATTGATGCGTTTACCATTTTATTATCCGATTTTATCATTTCAATCATATTCTTACTATTAATTGAAGTATTCGATTTCAACTATTTGTTCTCTGTTTTTCAAGTAGGATGCAAACCATTTATGTGGTATTCCTCGTATCCCTACACCATGTAACTTATCTAATAATATGTTATATTGTACTTTGTCGTAAGCTTTGGTCATGTCTAATAATATTCCAATAGCGTACTGTTTATTTTTAATTATATTTAATATTTCCTGTATATATTTATAGATAGCCAAGGTTGTTGATCTATTTTTTCGGAATCCATTTTGACTGTCGTCAAGTATTTTGTATTTTTTAATTAGTGTAGCTCTTTGGATACTCGTTTGTTATAAGAACGGTAACCGAGTGGAAGTTTCTTCCAGCGGAACTAATTTTCGCCTGATAAAATAGATTGGTTCGTTTAGAGATTGAGTGCAACAACATATGACTTCATCATCACATAATATCAGATGACATTGCAATGAAACACGCTCAAATTTTACACAAAAAGCATCAAGGTTGGCCAAAAATATTAAAATGCTTCAAGAATTAGCTGGGAACAATGTTGTGTAAATCTATTTGACTTTTTTCAGTCTATCGATGTTTACTGATCTTGTATTTATTTGAAACAATGGAGTATAATCATAGCTCTTGCGGAATTAAGGTTAAATATTTACTCAGATAACATTTTAATTGTACGAGATTACAATATAGGTAGTTTGTTTCATATTTCATTCTTTATGTCTTGATGCATTTCCTTATTAACATATTTTATGGTATATAATACAAATATGTTGTTCCTTATAATTTCTTTGTCGAAAAACTTCTTCAGTACTATGCCAAAAGTGTTTCAATGCATAAAAATTTCAGAATATGTCTTACAAAGAAAGTGACTTGCTCACTATTTATGTTAATACTTTGTAAAATAGGTTCATTATAGATATTTCCAGTTTCTTTATAAAAATGATTTGTAGGTATGTATGTATAGAAGATAATGAAAATTTGTCAGCTATATAAATAATGTTACACACGTGCTGTTATCGGTGTATTACTAATTTCCCTTATCGACAGTTTAATTAAGAATAAAACTCATTGTTGAATATTTGTCTTGTTTTGGTTACTGGTTAAAATTAGTTAACCGATAATATTTTTATAGATCAGCTCAATGGAGTCGAAAGGTTTACGAAACATTTGGATATGTATGATTTGTAAACTATTCGACAACATGTGTTGAGATGTATGTATATGAGTTGTGACTCCGGATATGGATTGCCATTTGTGGTCTGTTCATGAGTGTATACGTCATTAAAATATACCATTAACTATTGAACAAATTACGTCCCGGCTTAAATCTGATTTACCTTTCTCTAGACCAGAAGAAATTTTGATTGGCGGTCTTCTGGGCCAGAAATTTCTGGACCTAGGGGACCCCCAATCAGAATGGGTTCCCAATTGCATACGTCATGAGTTCTAGTTAGTAAAATAATAATCAGCCACTGGATCTATGTTTTATCATCATGATTTTAATCAACAAACTTATAATATGGATCATAATGGAATGCTCCCGCTTTGCGCTAACGGTACTGATACGCTGGATATAGTAGATCTACTGCATTTAGGTGACGTACAAGACGTTGCAGTACATTACTTACCTACCTACTGTACCTATATAGAGCAAATAAATTTAATTTTACTGTACAAAACGAGAAAAATAAATTTGTGTTATTTCCAAACACATAAATCACATACATTTATAGTGTAATATAAATTATTCTGTTTTATAATATTACATAACTCAGACAGAGATATACGTATTTATTGCGTATATTTTTTTATTTCCGTGTTTCTGATACGTTAGCTGGCAACCCTACTCACCATTTCATTTATCACCCGTTTAGTGTTTTAAAACCATATTTTCGTTTGTTGAACACTGTTTACTGTGACTTCGTGAAGTCGGCAGCGTAAGACCGTAAGGATATTACCATAGGCGCCAGCGCATAGCAAATGAACACGATGGCTTGTGTAAAATGGGGACCGGTGTCAGCCGTGTGACCCTGCGGCATTCTGAATATATTACTGGCAGACAATTGAGCGAGCGTCACTCAACGCGCTTATGTATTGAAAATGGACATAATTGAATATTGTGAATAACTCTTTCTACCTGTACTGGTTGAAGTTATTTATTTTTATGTTAGCGTAACATACATAACAAAATACACCTAAATTTATATAATATTAGAATAAGTATTAAAATAACAACTAGACGCACTTCCGTTGTAATTTAGTTTTTCTTAAGTGGCTATAACAATTACTGTTTCTAACCAAAATTCAACCTAGACTGAGAGTTGAAAGCTACTATACTGTACGGTTTACTATATTTTCGTCTGTTTTCAATGAGAATTGTTACTATATTGCTACCATACTAGCTGACCCGCGCAACTTCGTCTGGGAAACACTGACTTAACATTTATCATTATATTTCGCCTACTTACATAATATCTTTAAATTATAGCGTATGTGTAATTCTGATGTATACGCTATGTTTTTGAAAGTTTAATTAAAATCCTTTTAGTAGTTTTTACGTCATCCATCCATCCACCCACACTCGACCTGACGGCCTCGGTAGTCTACTGGTTTAGCACACCGCTTTACTTCCCATAATCGCGAATTCGATCATTTGTATTCACTAGTGATTGTTTGTATTGGTCTGGATGTTTTTTATTTATGTAATGTATATACAAATGTATCTAAGCATTCTATTAGTTGGCTTGTACCCATAACATAAGCTCTGCTTAGTTCTGCATTGCCGTTGTGTGTATCGTCCAGGGATATTGTTATTATTAAACACTCACAAATTTCCGCTTTTATAATAAGTCAAACCTTTGTTGAGCCAGTAATTTCATTATATCGTATGTGTTTTGTTGTTGCAGCGCTATCATGGTGGTGGTGCTGAACGGCGTGCTCGCAGACGAGTGTCCGACGTCGGTGCGCGCGCTGCTGGCAACCCACCCCGGGTACAGGGATGCGGCTGCGCAGCTTCTCGCCGCCGCTGCCAGGGTGGTCGGCCCGGCGGGGCTGTTGTACGTTGCGCAGAGAGAACTCGCCGCTGTTGTGCCACATGACAGTTAGTATTACTGATACTGACTAACGATAATAGACTAAAGATAATGAACTACATGACTTGAGGGGTGAGATATGGCAGTTAAATTACAGGATATAGAGGCGTAACAGATTATATGGGATCACAAATTGTGATTTTCTTTGTTCCGCTTGTATATGTGTATAGACGACGATTGCCACTTTCAAATCGGTACAGCGACACTTATTTGTCATTCTAGTATAAAAAAAGATATAATACATAGAAATTCTGTCCATTCCCCTTTACATATATATGTATATTTGATATGTCTGCTTTCATAACTCTAACAAATTATCACCATTGACAAATTCACTGTATTGATTGAATTTGTAATTATTTAATTTTTCAGAAAACGTCAACATTATTGGATCAGACGATGCCACATCATGTATTATAGTTGTCGTCAGGCATTCAGGTAAGATAGTAAAAACAATTTGTCATTTGAAATTAAAATTAAAAGTGTATCTTATTAGTCAGTAGAGTTAATAAGCGGATATTTATCAAAGGAGAATATTTTATGATGTTAGTCAGTAATATTCATAATTTTGTCGGTGGAGCTCTTGCCACTTCCATAATTCACTTTAAATCTTAAATCTTGATTCTCTTCAACTCTACCATTCTAATATAATAATATTTAATAATAAACAGTTTTATTTACCACAGTATTATGCAGTAATAGCACCACTACTACCACTAGACAGTCCTTTTTTCAGACTCATGAAAAAAGAAACTGTCTAGTTGTGATGCTGTTACTGCGCTACTAGTCTCAAATTCACTGGCTTGCGAACATATAATTAGTTTTAAATGTACCTGTTTCCATAACTACATAATAATATGTATATACTGTATGGTATATATGTACACCTCGTCTGTATGTCGTCTCGTCATAATAATGAGTTAGGGAGTAACAATGGGAGAATGTTCATAGAACCTCACCAGGTTACAAGTAACTTTTATTGTAGATTAGCAACTAGTTACTATTATTTATTTATTTATTTATTCATTTCAAATTAATTATATTATATTATGCACAGGTGTCATTATGGTAGGGAACTCAATTTTTTTATCACTATTATTTTCACTCGTGATGAGTGATTACCGCTTTCTTAAGTACATTTTATTAAATTCTGTTAATACTTTTTTATTTTATTCATCATGTTTGGGGTCAATTTTTATAAATTAACAGAACAATAGATCAAAGCTATAGAAATTTAGAAAAATGTTTAATCAACTGACAAGGTGCCTTACGAAGCTATACTACCTATACATACATTACCTTATAGTATACATACATTGCCTTGCCTATATTCTATTATATATAGGGTTTTTAACGGATTATAATGGAATGATGTACCCGCCTGCACTAATGATTTACCCTGGCGGGGTACCAGTGGAGGATGATAATATGAGCAGTAGTAGTTAGGTAGTTAGGCAAATGGCAATTTACCCAGATGGTTTCCCGGTTGAATCGCGTGGAGGTCAATCTAACATGGTATATTTCTAGCAATGGGGTTATTACTAACATTCCCCTTTCCCCCCATTGTTTGGCACAGTAAGCCTTCTTCCTTGTTTATTGTATTATAAATTAAAAATCCATTATTAGCTTAGGCGACAGTAATACCAGAGTAACAAGTTTAGTATAAGAACTATCATGTTTTGGATTTTCTAGGATCAGGCGCAGTAGCCTTAGCTCATTTCGACGGGTCCGGCACAGCGGAGGCGGCGAGCGCGATGGTGGCAAGGGTCCAGCAGCTCGCAGTAGGGTACCCAGAGGGCCGACTCGAACTGCAACTAGTCGGTGGGTTCACTGACCCGCATCGGTACTCAGATGAACTATTTGCTAATATTATGCGTGAGTATACATTTTTTTTTCATAATATCTTTTTATTTGGTTCTTGATTAATTAATTAAAATTTAAAATGTAATTCTGAACAATTTATTTAAAAGAGCAACATACAGGTTTCTTACATCGTTCTTGTAATGAGTCAGCGCTTTGAATGAGTGGTAGAATAAACAAAAAATTACTATTAAAAAATGTTTACAATACGTTTATTTGAATAAAGATAATTTCTGTTTCTGATTCTTAATTGAGTAAGGACCAGTATTTCTTAGATTAAGGCATATGTAGTCGTAATTTGACGTAGACATTCTATATCTTGATCATTACTAGATCAGTCAAGATATACTTTGAAATCTACATTCGTCTACTAGACTGTATCTTTAGCTTTTATCCAGCAATATAGCACAATGTACTTCACTAGTAGTATAATTCGTTTAAAATAAAGTCTCTAATTTTACTGGATATAATATTTGTTAAGTTTGCAGGCGAAATTGTTAAAAATATCTAGTACCTAATGTTATATTATCATCAGCTCGAATCTAGTGCCAAAAGTAAAAAATATGTGAACAGCGAGTGGGCCGGCTAATCGGCGCCGCCGTATCTATTGTTATGCATATCGAAGTATTTAATTGCTGGGGAATTTTATAGCGGTCAATACTACTTTGCAGAATAATATTTGTAGACTTATTATTTTGAAGAATTATTCGTTTAATGCAACGTAATTCTTATTGGAACTTTATTACTAAATTGATATCTGTTCCTTGTTATTTATTAGACATAGTATAAAACAAAGTCTCTGTCGCTGTCTGTCAGTCCCTATGTATGCTTAAATATTTAAAATTGCGCAACAGATTTTGAAGCGTTTTTTTTTAATAAATAGTGTGATTCAAGAGGAAGGTTTATGTGTATAATACATGTACACCCGGGCGAAACCGGGGTGAGTAGCTAGTTTATTAGAAGACATTGTAATTAGAATTTTATATTAAGAAATATAGTGTGATGTCTTCTATTATTTCGTTAGGGTGTTGTTTGCCTTTTACAAAATATATACATTTTTATATTTCTCTATACTAATATTATTATTGTTGATTAAACCCCTACAATTCTGAATATATGTAATAATCTACATCAGATAGTTAAATAAATTGTCGCGTCGAACATTATATTTTATATTATATTATTATTATTATTATATATATTAACAATTATCACCGCCTATTAGCTTTTACCCATGATTTGCTCACGTTAATGTTGACATTGTCAACTTGTACTGGTTCTTAATAACAATAATTCTGCAAAGTTTAACAGAAATAAATCACGGCCACTTGTAACAGTGCGAATATTTAAGTTGATGTAATTTATTTCCAGTCTCATTTCACCGACTGACAGTAGAGATCGACCTAACCCTCGCGTGCTGTTGTGAACTGAACACAGCACTAGGCGGCGGGTCTCCTGCGCCGTTAGTAACCGGAGTTGGCGTCGATATTCGAGCAGGGGACCTGTTCCCAGCGACCTTCCCAGACAAGGGGCCAGAACTGCCACTCAGGGAGGCCAGGATGATTACTGGTGGACCACATTCAGCGCAGGTTAGTAGTTACTATACAGTGGAACTTCTGTATAAATTTGTTGGATTGCGTGTACTTACAAACTGGTAGTAGTTACCTGCGACTTTATCTACTTTTTAGATGAAAAATAAGTATTTTGCTAACAGTATTTCTAATATATATTTCAATCATATATTTAAAAATGAAATAAAGAATATTTAAAGACAGTCATCCTCTAAAAACACAGCTTATGTATGATACAACAGTAGAGACAAAATCAGTAGTATGCACTCATCTTACAGCACACTACACAGTAATAGTATTTCACTTACTATTTCACTTATAAAGTAAATTAATTAATATTTACGGAAAAAAGATATCTAACCTCATAAATTTGTAATTTCAGGTGTTAGACATATATGACAATGCAGTGGGCATGTTACGAATTGGTCCATTCAATTACGACCCGCTGAGGGGCGTGGACCTATGGCTCGAACAGTCAGATGACTTCATACTGCAGCACCTCAGCACTACGCCTGCAGTGGAACCGCCGCACTTTGTGCACAATGTTAGTAATTTATTTAGGGTGTATATGTATATATTACACCTTACGTTGTAAAGTCAGTGATAGTTGAAAATTTTGGTACTAATCTTCTACTATAGTATTGTAGATTTTTGAAGTCAATTTAATGATCATAATGGAATGGCAAACAAGCTGAAGGCCCACATGAAAATTAAATGGTAACCTCGTCTATATACACGAAAAACACCACGAACTTTCCGTTATCAAGTGACGCCCGCGCTAGCGCACTGCGTTGATATTCTAGAGTTGCAGCAGTGGAGGATGATCAGATGAAGTCAGGTCAGTCGTCAGCCTATCGTGGCAAATTCACTAGTCTTAGTTTCCAGGGCGAACCGCGTGGTGGTCAACCTGAGAGTAGGTACATTGCTAGGAATGCGGTTATTAGTCCACATTACATTACCCTTCCCCCCTAAAATACAATGTAAAATTATATTATTCTAATAAATATTTTTATTCCAATCCTGATCATCTGGATGAATGGCGGTACACGACAATGCGGTTTTCTATAAACTTTTGCCATGCACATTATGGAATCCTTGCAGAAATGATATTTCTGAACCGATACGATATTGAAACCTTCAAGAAAAGAGCTTATACCTTTTTAAAATTTCGGAAACACACTTCCAAATCCCCTGGTGTTGCTCATGGGCGGTGGTAATCTCTTACCATCAGGTGAGCCGCAAGCTCGTTTGTCCCCTGTGCTAAAAATATTCATTTTATATGTATTAACATATAGTTGTGTTTAATATTCCAGATCAGGGTAACGCTAAAATTCATCCAGCAACACCCGTTTCCGGCAGTCACCGTGTTCCCAGACAATCGGCCACACTATTACCGCCGCGACGAACAAACCGGTTGTTGGGTGCCTATCCGTTTCTAAAACTACCATTTTGGTAATTAGTCTCTTTTGCCCGTAAAAAAACTACTATAAGACTTGAGCCGACGTATGGTGCAAATGAATTTAGTAGTAATCAGCACTTCATGTGCCGTTACTGTAGACTTAAAAACATATATACATATATATATTGGGCTTAAAAACTAATTTTGTATTAATTACTTTGTTGTAAATGTTATTTATAAACCACACTTTATTTTTAATCTATTTCATTTTTCTAAGTAATTATTAATTATTTTGTTTCAAAAATTACAAAAATCCTTATAATATATCCTCCAGCCCTTCTTCATAACAACATAAAGTTAAATTAGTATTTTGACACATTCTTTTAAATTATTATTTTTTGTTTAAAGGAAGGAAACGACAAATTCAATGTAGTTAAGAAAAATCTATTTTTATGTTTATTTACATGAATTGACATAATGTGTTTTTTTCATTGACTTAAATTATTAATAGATTTATAATTGTAACTTACTTTGACTTTAAAAATAATTTGACTGCAAATTTAAAAGACAAAGATATATATCAAATTACAGTTATTACTTTAAAATTTCGCACTACAGTTATAATTGCTTAAAACTTATTATTACGAATTTTCTAAACAAAAATCAGGGTTTTCTTTTTAAAAAAAAATAATATTATATACTTAATTCAATTATTTGGCAGTTATGAACTATTCTAGTTTTCGACATACTTATAATTACTACCAGTAATTCCATTTGTCACGGAAATAATCCCAAATCCAGTAATTACTACTCAAACGTTACTGACTGACAGATTGTTTAAAGCGTTAATTATAGAACAATTATATTTTTACAACTCCATTAAATCAGACGGTGCTGCCCTACAATGTAATGGATTTACTAAAACTTCCATATTACATATGTAGCATAGCATATATATGATGATTATATAAAATCAGAATTAAAAAGTTGAATTACAAATCTTTACCGTATGGAACTGGCATAATTAATATGTACATTTGTGTCTTTTATAATAATGTACGCTAATATGTAAATGTTTTGAGTTGTGAATAATATCACTGTGACAAAGTACTAAAATTTTTATGTATTATTTCTTGCGACTGTACAATTAGGTACATTAGAATTAAGTCTTAATTAAACTCGATCCATAACAAAACGAGTTCTGTTGTCATTCAAATAAGGCGGGGTTTTAAAATTCTCTGTAAAGCTGACTATTGGCTGCGTTCCGTTAATTATTAATTATATTAAATGCAACGGATTATTCTACTCATACGCAATGTTTTTAGCCTAGTATATATTTTTAATATTATTATTTCTTTATGACAAAAATGTTTTCAGTTGACATCAAATACCATTTGGTATAAGATTATGTATTTGTCTTTTAGTTGATTAAAACTTAGTGTCATTGTGTTAAATATAAAAATGTTCACAATATCTGTTTTCAAGTAGACAATAATAATTTTAAATATATTTTATTGATTTTTTCACAAAATATTTTATGTGTGTATCAACAAAATGTATTACAGATTATCTGTGTTATTGTTAAAATAAGTTAGTAAACTGTTTTTTATATAAAAAAAACTGGTACTATTACAATATTATATTTTTCACTACCTAAGAACAATGTTATGGAACCTTTTAAAAAAAATATTAATAAATAATGTTATTAATTTAACTAGTATATGTCGGTTAGAACAACCAAATTGATCTATTGAACATTTTTTTATGTACTATTTCATATATTTGATTCCTCTTTTGATTTGGTAAACTATTTCAATTGGATTATACAAAAATAGAATATTAATAAAAATACTTGACACTATTTTGTAATTAGATTATTTTATGTAAATTTTGGTTATATATATGAAACATATGCTACCTTCCAATTTCATAAGTGTTTAAATTATTGTGATAATGATTTATAGTTACAATAATGAATTGTACTAGTTAGTATAAATTACTTTTGTTGTACACAAATGTAGTTACATTGACATTTAGAATTAATTATGATTTTGCAAAAAATGCTGATGTTTTTGTTTTTGGCGATAAGTGAATTTTATATTGACAGCACTAAATATTTGTATGTAAATATGAATTCAGTGTAAATTGTTGCTAAGTTACAAGTTAAGATAATTGTATATTTTGGACATTATTAGAATTTGTTCCTCACGACTGTAAGGTATATTAGATGATCGTAATAATAATTTGTCAGGTTACTTTGCATTGTACAATTAATTAGAAATAATAAAACTATTGTTGTTGATAAACCTATTATTGAACAAGTCCTATTGTAAATATTTAGTACACATAAATTGATAGTTATTTAGTTTTTGACGTTTTAGTTATTGTTTTGTGAAATATAATGATTATTTAAAGTTCAATCAATATTTGTTTTATTTATGCTTTTCTCTGTCTTCCCGGTAAAACAATCTAAATGTTTATTAGTAAACATATAAATTCGTTATTTGTATAATATAAATTATAAAAAAAATTACGGAGATCGAATCTCCGACTATAGGAAAGTAAATATTAACGCGGAGTGATATATGCTAGTCTACTGAATGCGTTAAATTAATTTGTATAATTATTGGTAGAAAGCAGCAAGAATGGATAAGATAAAGAATGAATACATTAGAGGAAGTATGAAAGTGGAACCGGTGTCAGAGAGGTTGAAGAGTAATCGTCTATCATGGTATGGACATGTAATGCGTAGGAATGAGGATAATATTTTAAGAAAGGTGTTACATATGAATGTGGATGGTTATAAGAGCAGAGGAAGACCGAAAAAGAGATGGATGGACTGTGTGAAAGATGATATGGTAAGAAAGGAAGTAAATAACGCAATGACTGCGAACAGGGATGAATGGAATCGAAAAACATATTACGCCGACCCTAAATAAATGGGATAAGGAAGAAGCAGATGATGATGATTGGTAGAAAGCAGCCTACTAAAAACTATTTGACGACATTTAATAAACTAAGCAGATTTTATACATCTAGATAACTACATATACATACAGTGTACAGTCCAATTAACACTACGTTTTATAGGAGTTGGACCATTGTGAAATATTTATTTACGTTATGTTTTAACACGTTACAAGTTCTTAAAAAATTATATTGTCACATCATAATTGATATAGTTGAGGTGATCTTGCATATGAAGAGGAAGATAAGTCACTCAAGCAGCGCATTAAGCTTCATTAAAGTTTATATAATATATTACAAGTTCCACACGAATTAATTTGTATTAAGTTGTGGTTTTATGTATGTTTAGTTCTCGTTCTTAGGTTCTTATGAGCATACATTTAATTTTCTCTTTGCCCGCAGTGCCTCTTTGAGTTGTCATTGTCAGTGTCATATCTGTACCAGTTCTGATCTGTGCTTTGTATTTTCTATATTTACAGATTGCACAGTTTTTCAACTTTGATAATAGCGTATTTTCCTTACTTGCTTTTGTTTTCAATATATTACAATATAGGGAGTAACTGCTATTTAATAGTGCACTACAATTTATCTAATAAATTTGCTGATAATTTTATTTTGTGCAATTAAACATGGACAAACCAACTGTAACTGATCAACCACCACCGTATTCGTCTACAATGCATCAAGGTATGTAATAATTTTGATAATTTGTTCCATTTTTAGTTATTGAACGAACGTACTTATCGGCCATAATAGGTACGTAGTTAATAGCCGAGATAAAGTACATTGCCGCCTATTTTTATTGAATAATCAATTATATTACTATTTGCTTATTACGCGATGTTGTGTTTTTAATGTTGGTGGCCTAAATATAATGGATTAGCTTAATTATGTCTGAATTATCCTATAAAATAAGAACATAAGATGATGATAATGGAATGGTGGACTCGCCTGCCCTAACGGTTTACGCTGGCGGTGCACCAGTGGAGGATGATAAGATGAGCATGAGGTCAGTTCAACTAGCCCCTGACCGTGTGGAGGTCGACCTGACATGGTATATTGCTAGCAATGGCATCATTAATCCACAATAGTAACAATCCCTTTCCCCAAACACATATGTATTTTTTATGGATGTTAATGGAATGGTGCAACCATCTTCGCTAACGGTTTATGACCAGCATAAACAGTTAGCGAAGACGGGTGCACCAGTGGAGGATGATAATATGAGCACGAGATCAGTTCAGTTAGCCCATCATGATAAATTCTTGTTGAATTTATCTCGATGGGCTAACTCATTAGTCATTTTTATTAATTTCTATTCAATGGTCTCAATGGGCAAACTGACCTGACATTGTGACGAATTTAACAAGAATTTATATATATATATAAATTTATATATAAATTCTTGTCCGCGGAACTGCCTGGAGGTCAACTTGACATGGTATATTGCTAGCAATATAATCATGAGTCCACATTACTAACAATCCCCTGTCCCCCCAATACATGAGTATTCCATAATTTAGTTTAGCATAAATATTAGGCAAGTAGTAGTATAGCTAAATATCTACTATCTTTATGGCACCTGGTGCATTAGTATATACCTATGTATGTAAATATTTTTTTAATATACAAATGTTTATATATTTTTATATAGAATCATTTCTTACCCTTTACTACCTGTATACAATTGAAACTACAAAATGTAGTATGTAGTTTTTTATTTCTCATCTATATGGGCTATTCATTCATTTTATATACTATACTAGTGATCAAACTCTGCTATGTATTGCTGCTGTAGGTACAATGTTGTAATGGAAGTTAGTTTTATACATATCAACCTTCCAGAAGAAATTATAGGAAAAACCAAAAGGATATAGTTTGTAAGGTTTAAAAGAAGAAGAGAAACAGATAAAGAAATAGCTACTATGCTGCATACCAATTATAGATATATTTTAACTTAAATGTATATATCTAATTAGTTTTTATTTCAAATTACAGTGCCCATGCCTCAACCTCCGAATGTAAGTGTACCTGGTCCGCAGCACCCTCCTCCTCCGCCAGGATACACCCCCTACGGAGCGCCGCCATCTACATCTAATCCGCCAGAACCTGGATACCTGCCCAACTATGGAGCTACCAACATTATCATACAACCGGTACAACCAACATTACTCGCAGTCGGAGCATGCCCGGCCTGTCGTGTTGGTATCCTTGAAGACGACTTCACTTGTCTGGGTATATTATGCGCTATATTCTTTTTCCCAATAGGTATCTTGTGCTGTCTTGCTCTTAAGAACAGGAGATGTTCCAATTGTGGTGCAATGTTTGGATAAATTCCTTAATGATCTATTGAATATGAAAGGCCTGATTTATTATGTTATATTATGGATATCATTTACAACATAAGGCACTCTATATACAAATTTTATTCATTATTAGAATTATGTATATGATTAAACAAAAGTGAGTAGCTAGGTGTGTCATAAACTATATACTTACTTTATTATAAAAGATTCTATAAGGAAATAAACAATGTATTGAATAGTTCACTTGTTGGCTCATCATCTAAGAAAAGTCACAGAGCTCTCATTTAATACTTTAGATCAAACTTATAGATTTTTATACAATGCGAGACTCTTAATATTGTTTTTACAGATTATATCATTCCTCGAATATTCCATCTATAATTGAACTAAAATATTCCTTTTCAAGAAATTAATACAATGTTTCTGCCTACTATTATGTAACCACATAGAAAGAATAACATGCAAATTTATGAATAAAGGGATAACTATTTAGATTTATGAAACATTTCATATTCAAACTGCATATTTTCACTATAATATATATATAATGTGAAAAAAAAAAACTGTTAGTAATAGCTGTTTATTTTTTGATGATATCTGATAAGATATATTTGTTAAGAACTGGCATGAAACACAACTTATATATTTTTTTGAATCATTCACTATTCCTAATATGGAAATACATATAGTGCCATAGATAAAGTGTAAAATATGACTCAGTGTGACTCACATTTTATCGGTTTTTATCAGACAATTGTGATATTTATTTATATTATAATAGTATTGTTTTTCTTGTAAATCTTTCAGATGATAATCTCCTTGAGGAATCTAGTAAATTCACTGTAATTAATGTTCGCTTTCATAATTTACCGAGAAATTTATACCGTCCATAATTGTAACGATTCTTACCATTCTTAGTGTAAGGTATACCACTATAGCATTTACCTTAAGCTAAAATTTAAAAGCACCTTCATACTCATTTTGTTTGTCTATTGTATTGTAACGGAATCTGTACATCATTGCTTTTATTCTAACATTTATATTTATAATTACACGTATTATCAAAGGCCATACAAAGAGTTCGAAGTCAATGAGATGGTAGTATCCACCATGAAACAAACACATCTACACGATAGTGGGCGCGCGAATTCTTTTACTAAGATATGTGTGTGTATGTACATATCATATACATATACCTCACATCAGAACGTATTTTTTTTTATTTTAATAAATGCTTAAAAGACAATAAAATGTAAAAAACTATGTTTTCATTTATATATAGCATCATTACATAATATAAAATAAAATCGCTGCCGCTGTCTGTCCGTAGGTATGCTTAATACGCATAGTATGGCAATCTTTAAAACGATTTTGACGCGGTTTTTTTAATAGATAGAGTTATTCTAGAGGAAGGTTTATTTATATAATACATATATAAATCTACATACATATATACACCCGTGCGAAGCCGGGGCGAGTAGCTAGTATCATATACAATGGAAAAATACAATAACTTTGTAGTACAAAACTGTACGTCCCATTCATTGCAGGGCGCAACATATATTTCTAGAATGTATTAATATGTCCTACCTGTATAAGATATATGTATACGTATTCATACGTTCCACTCGGCTATCAGGCTAGTAATATGAAATATTTTCTTATCCGTGTTTATTTATCATAATCGTTTCGAAGACTTCTCCTCAAGACAGTATACGATCTATATTATTATGATAGGTCAGAATACATGTTTATTAGAATCTTTGTTATACTACAAAACTTTCGTTATATTTGCAGTAATAATTAAACAAAGAGTACACGATGTACCGGATCGGCCCAGAGCTGGATGCGGTCCAGTGCTCTTGATAAATAATATCGTATCACATATACTTTATACATAATAATAATATTGACGGCCTCGTTGGTCTAGCGGTTTAGCACACCACCTTACTTCAGATGGTCGCGGATTCGATTCCTCGCACGGCACAAACAATTTGTATTCATGAGTATGTGATTGTTTGTATCGGTCTATATATAATATATATTTACAAAAAATAAAAATCTATTTATTTGTATCAGTTGTTTAGTACACATAACACAATCTTTAGCTAGCTTAGCTTGGGACTAATGGCACTGTGTGAGTTTTGTTATCTAAGATAACAAAACATAATATAGAATCTTTCTTAGCCGCTTTTCTATAAATTCATCCAAATATTTTTTTCTAATACTTTAATGTACTATTATTTAGCATGTCAGCATGTCTGTGCCATTTCTTAACTAATGTTCAATTTTATGTTCAAAAATTTCAACATAGTAGATATGTCCTTTTCAATACTATGTCATTACCATAAATTTAGAAACTTGTTAAAAATGAATCAAAATCTACATTAGAAATTTTATGGTGATATTTGTTACGTCATGCATTACATATACAACTGGTTAGTTTTCAATTTATCTATTTTTTAAATAAATAAATATTCCAAGAATTAATATAACATTTTATCACGAATTATGCATTACGTATGTCTGAAAGCTGGTCTTCCATGGCGAAATGTCTTGGAAAAATTAGATCCTCATTATTAAATATAAAGTGTGGCTATGTGGTCTATAAGGAAAATCTTTTTAGTATTCTAGTTAAATTATGATTGATTTTTGAAACTATAACAAAAATATGCAAATCAAACACAAATTAAAATATTATTTTTTAATCATAACTTATATTTTTTTATTGTTTCGCTTATCCTTAATGTTTATTTTAATCAATATGTATAAAAATAAAGTCTGTTGATTCTATAACCTGTAATTTTCAAATATGTATATGTTACACTATAATTATTGTTATATCAACTGTATTGTTCTGTTACAATTTGATAACATTGTTAAACTATATAAAACTTTAATTCTTACAGTTGTGCTAAAATGACACTTAATATAATGGATAATATGACCTAAAATATGACTATGGTTTTTCTTTTCTGGATAGATTCATGTTATGTTTGACAATATGTACTTGTCTAACTTTGTAGAATATTTCTTCATGAGTTTCATATATCATCTTTATTATTTAAAATACTGGGCGTTTATTTGGTTCTGTATATTACATTATATTTATAGTATAACTAGGTTATTTCATTTGCATACTACCTATTAGCTACCTATATATAAGTCGAAATATATTGGAAATATTTAGGCTAGACTGAAAACGGTACACAGAGCCAAAATGCCTTTTAAAATGTATAACTTGTCATAAGAATGTTAATTATTATGGTTATATATACGTATATTATAAGTATGTTAAGTATAAAATTATATAGATTTAAGAGTAACCACATACGTCGCAAATTACTCTCGAATGTTTAAACTTGCACAAGTACAAACTAAATAAGTATCTTATAACAATCGTTAAAATATACTCGTGCAAGTCTAAAGTTGCGTAAGTAAATTGAAACGTATGTAGTTGTTATAAAGTGATAATTGATTAACTATTGAATTTATATAGATTTTTCGAAATAAATAATGCCAAAAATACTAGTTCTTTTTTTCATAGCATTACATTCCAATATGTCATCGAGTGTGTGTTTCTGTACATTGCATTTAGTGAAACAAATGGTTTTTTAAAGAAGTGATAAACCTGCAGATTTTATGTTGTATAATAATAAATAATAACCCCGGACAATTCTCACGCACTAGTTCCAAGCTTAGTAGATCTCGTGTTATGAGTACTAGAAAACTGATAGGAATTGACGAATATAAATAATTATAGAACAAATATTTTATTCTGTGTAAATAATCATGAATACAAAATGTTTGAATCGTGCGAGTGAAGTAAGGAGGTATGCTAAACCTCAAGACCATTGAACCTATATTGTTCAATTCTTTATGCATATGTAAAATAGCGTTATAAAATCACAATATATGCAACCTACTGAACTTTAAAAGTGTATAGCTGCGGCTCTTAGATAGTTGCAGCAAATTGTCTGAACATATTGAATGAATAAATGATGCTGAAAATTGCTCGCACACTCTAATAAACATGGAAGTCGACACGGAGATAGTTTAGTCTAACATTAGGTTATCTGTGGTCTAATAATTGAGACCATTTTAGTTATCCGATTAGGTTTGTGTAATGAGTAAGCCTGAATATATCTACGAACATACCTACGTAAAGTTTTTATATTGCTTCTGTTAATTGTATGATTTTTGTTAAAAAGTACTTAGAATGATTTAATACACTATTAGATAATATAATAGAGACACAGATAAGATAATATTACATATAACTATTAATATTTCACTGAGGGAGTCAAAGTACCTACACTGTCTAAAGAGGTGTCTGCGTGTTTGAACCACCAAGCGTAACTATTTTTATTTTTTTTATTGAATACTAATGGAAACTTTCCCAGAGGATGACAACATGAACATGAGGTCCGGTCAGTTAGCGCTTCGTGACAAATTGATTACAAATTTATCACGATAGTTTCCAGGAGGAATCGCGTCAAGTTCAACCTGACATGGTACATTGCTAGCAATTTGGTTAACAGTCCACAGTACTAACATTTCCCTCCCCCTACTAAACGTAACTGTTCATATATATAGGGGGCCACTTACCATGAGACAGGCCGCCAGTTTATTTGTCACTTTGATTACATACGTAAAATAAGGTGAGGTCACATATTATTTTTATTTAATATTCATCTTAATATAATATTTATAATAGAATAATAATAACGTTGTAGGTATAATTGTACCATAAGTTTGTAATAAAAATACAGCAGTAAAAGGATCTATCCGTAAAAGAACTCAATCTCTTACTATTCATAAATTTTACTGTGACATTTATAGTTACGAATAAAATCGTGATTTTTATTCGTAGTACTATCTAGAACATTAAGTAAGATTTAGAACGATTCAAGTGGAATTTATGTATGTTTATTACCCACAAATCTACGGGTACCTACATGTATCTGTATCGGTTATTAAAATTGTACAAATAAACAAAACCACACTTATTTATAGAGATACAGGGTTTTATAAAACTTATATATTTTATTAAAACCTATATAATAAGTATACTCATGACTGTAAACGCATATGGGGTAGTTAGAGGTATTTTAGTGTCGACGCTGTGACAAATTTCTTGAATTTAAGCTAGAGCCTACGTCTTTCGGTCTTTCAGAAGAATTTTGTTGTTAGCGGTGTTTATAGCATAATTACTAAAATGATAGTAATATCTGATAGTTTATTTATGTGAATAACTCCTATGTAATATGTATTATGTTATCTGTGACTTTATCTACATATTATGTCGGCCCCATTTAAATTAAGATGACCTGGGTCGAAGTTACCACTAACGGTGCCCTCGGACTGAGTTATTTATCAGGTAGACGTTGACATTGCCACTCTATAGATACTTCTGCTAGTTTGGCGAGCCTTTTGCATGCGCCTGCGTATTCGTGCCGTGAAGCTGTAAGGACCGGATACAGCCAACAGCATTAGAATAGTTAAAGAAAAACAGATTCTATAGACTTAGCTAATGTGGTTTACGAGTGAAGACGTAGTTTATTTTTAGGTTTATGGTTCCGCATAGGTTTGAGCGGTTCAGGCTTTAGTGGGCAACTTAACTTTATAGGCAGTTAAGTTTGACAACTCTAGCCTTATCTCGGACGTGGGTTGAGCAATGATCACCCAGAATCATAAAGGTAATAAGGAGGTAAGGTAAGCATAATTGTACAATAACAACTTGCTGGTAGATATCTATGTATGTGTTAGAATACATGTATATCATATACTCGTACTCGTAAACTTTGTACCTTGTCAAAATAGCACTCAATAAAGAATACAATTGTTAATAATGTCGCTATGACTACAGTGTTAGTGTTGGTTAGTGTACAAAATTAATACACAAGACTAAAAGTGTACAAAACTATACATATGTACGATTTGTGAAATATATCTATTTATGCTATAATAGAAATAGCGTCTGTTTGTATATTTGCGATAAAATAATGATCTTAAAAGTTGCTGAATAAGCATGCAGCGTTACTGTGGTGGCCCTGTGTATTTGTACTGCTTTGATTTATAGACTCCAAAGGTTCGTCTGTGACTAGATTAAAACGTAGGTACTTTTATATAATATACCTAATAAAAAAAATATCCCACGTGACGATGGTTTCTTTCTGAGCCAAAATTTGATTTCAAGTGTTACGTCCATGTTTTTCGATAATGCCTTTGACTATCCATTTGGGTTTACAGGCGTGAATTTCTAAATAACATAACCTCATGGAAATATTGTTCTTATCATCTTAAAGTAAAAAAAATTGTAAATACATATGTATTTAGATAACTTATTCTTTTAAATTAAATAATTTTAGAGTATAAACAAATGTACTATGTATTTAAATTCCGTCATGATTTTTCTAAAGTAAT